CAACCGTTTTAATTATTATTTATAATATAAATATTTTCAAAAATAATCACCAGATGGAAGCACGTATAAGCTTTTTCAGCTGGGAGAAATGATTAATTTAATAAAGTATTTTTTTAATTATTATTATTATTAATTTATCATTACAATAAAAAAATTTATGAGTTTTATGTATAAATAGTTTAAATATATAATTTTTTTAAAACTATTTTTCTACGTAAATAACACAAAGCTGGAGTGCTAAGTAAATAACATAAAACTAAATTGCTAAGAAAATATAATAGAAACTATTTAAAAAGACGAGATACGACTCAAGTTTTGTTTACTTTTCTCTACAAGCAGCTTAATTTTTTTTTTTTTTTTCATTTTATTAATGCTTAAAAGATATTTCTTTAACTACAAAATATTCTTACTTTTCTATTATTTATTTACACGTGTACTGAACTATAAATTAATTAAAAACAAAACTATTAAATTTATAAATTTATTTATTAAAATTATATAAATTTTTAATTTGAATTCAATATTAAATTTTGTTTATATTAAATTCAATATCAATTCATTTCCTGTATATGGAAACAATACATTAAGATATGTTCTCAAGTGTAAAATATCAATACATATTTACAGTTAATATAAATATATTTAATTGAAATAAATTGATTATTATAAATTATAAAAAGAAAGTTTTTATTTATAAATTAAATGCTAAAAAAAATTTATTTTTCCCCCCTGAATTAGTGTAAAAAATTATAAACCACTATCATATATGCAAAAAAAATAAACAAGATATCATCCCTTATTTACATATTATATAAATATTTTATATAATATAAAATATACTAAAAATTTATTTAAATTCTGTATATAAATATAAGAATATATTCCATATATTTACATAAAATATAATTTTCTTATGCATATGAGACAATGTTTATCTTTGATTTTTATAAATGTAAACATAATAATTTCTATCAGAATTAATTTCGTAAAGTATTTAATATATTAAATTAAATTCAATTTTTAATATGATTATTTTTCATGTAAAATATCAAACCTTTTCTGAATAAACTTAACCATTCTACATTGAATTTATAATATATCTCTGGTTCATTTACATATGCATTATTTATGAAAGAGATAAAAAAAAAAAAAATCGCATTGTTACCAACTTTCAAATATGTTTACATAAAATAATTTTGTCAGGAACAAGTACAAGTCGATAGAGTGTTGGAGAATACGATTCCAAGTTTCGCTTCGGTGGTTACTAACGTCATTTCTCTTTGGAACATCAATGTTACTGCCTCCTAATGTTGTCAACTTTGGCAGCTTCACTCGACCAATGTTATTTATTTCGGTCGAACACAGAAACTAACACTTAAGATAACGTCCAGGATTGGAAACTTAGATTATCAACTTATCTGATGGAACCAACAGCACAAAACAAAATATTGGATTCGACTTTTTCTTCTCTTTTTTCAGATCTTTTTTTTTTTTATTCTAACGGTTTGTTGACTATGTCTTATTATTTGACATGAATGATAACTATGATACATAATTTAAAAAAAAATTTATATACAGTATTTATAAAATATTGATTGGATTTTTAATAAAGAATTTTACTTAATAAAAACGAAATTTAAACTTCCTATAAAGCAAATTTTTATTGGAAAGTTGATGTAACAAATTGCACGTAAACATATT